AATGGCAGGTCACCCTGAGCCACAGTTGAGTATCCCCCAACTTCCTCTTTGAAGAGGAAATGTAGAGGCCTCTGAAGAGACACAGCTGTATAAACAGACACCTCTGGGGGTGAGGGGTAGCTCCTCAGAGGAGATGAATTTAAGAATATTTATTAAGGGAACTCTTGTACACTGTTGGTGGGAATGTAAATTGGTGCAGCCACTATGGAAAACAGTATGCAGGTTCCTCAAAAAACTGAAACTAGAACTACCATATAATCCAGCAATTCCACCCCTGGGTATATATCTGAAGAAAACAAAAACACTAATTTGAAAAGATACATGTACCTCCATGTTCAGAGCAGCATTATTTACGATAGTCAAGATGTGGAAGCAACCTAAATGTCCATCAATAGATGAAAGGATAAAGATGTGGTGTATATATATATATATATATATATATATATACACACACACACACACACACACACACACACAATGGAATGTTACTCGGCCATAAAAAAGAATGAAATTTTGCCATTTGCAACAACGTGGATGGACCTAGAGAGTATCATGCTTAGTGAAATAAGTCAGACAGAGAAAGGCAAATACTCTGTTATCATTTATATGTGGAATCTAAAAAATAAAACTAATGTATACAACAAAACAGAAACCAATTCATAGATGTTGAGAACAAACTAGTGGTTACCAACAGGGAGAGGGAAAGGGGGAGGGGCAAGATAGGGGTTGGGATTAAGAGATACACACTACTAGGTATAAAAAAGATAAGCGACAAGGATGTACTGTATAGCACAGGGAAATACAGCCATTATTTTGTAATAACTTTAAATGGAGTACAATCTATAAAATATCGAATGACTATGTTGCACACCTGAAACTAATATAATATTGTAAATAAACTATATTTCAATTAAGCCCCTACCGGGTGAAAGGCCAAGTACTAGAGAAACCACAGAGATACCATGAGGAAAAAGGGAGGATGTGGTCCTGTATACTCGAGGAGATGATATTCCAGCGGGGGAGAGACACAACAAAAAGTAAACAAATAGGTAAAATGATTCCCTACTGTGGTAAGCATTAACAAGAAAACAAACAAGGGGCTAAGAAAGAGGTTAGTGGGAGGTCAAGAACACAGGTCAAAGGAGGGGAATGAAGGAACTTGGTGATCTTGGGCAGATAGGGATGATATGAGGAGAGCTGGAAATGGAAAGGGGCAAAGACCTTTCCCTAGGATTAGGGCAGTGAGAACCCGTGCAACTGCTGGTCTCAGCCCCTGGCCCTTTCTGGCCTTAACTCATCCCCCAGCTGTCACCCCTGCACCCTGTCATTGACTTAATGATTCACTCTCAACCTTCCCCAGCTTCCTGTGTGGCAGGGAGGGGGTGGGGCAGAGCCCTGGCTCTCTGAGTTCTTCTCTCCGGTTCTTCTCTCGGTCCCATTCTGACTTTGCCACAAAGAAAGGTCTCTCTGTGCCGGGAGGACAGTGAGGATAACTAGGTCCAGCTGGAGGCCCAGATTCCAGATATAGAAGGTAGTGTGAAACAGGATCCTGACATCCCCTTCACTTCCCCTCCCCTGCCTAATGCCCTGGAGAAATTTTCCATCATAAACAAGTTATGCATTCCTAACCTTGGGTGACTCTCCCCTTCTCCCACCAAACAGTTTTCTTCCATCATCACTCTCTCTCCCATCCCCAGTTTATGTCTGTGTGAGCATGTGAGCCTGTCCACACATGTAAATTGTCATGTATTTATGTTGATCATCGTTTAGTGTGCAGGTTGCCTTGGAATGAGGGTGTAGGTGGGTGGGTAGGCTCACTGTGCTTGGGTGTAAATGTAACGATGATGGCAGATGTGAAAGGGAGGTGTGGGAAAGGGATGTGTCTTTGTTTGTAGAGGAGGTGTGTTTTATGCCTCATCAGGAAGAAGTGTATAATGCTGAAAGTTGCTAGTGTGCTTAAACAGGAGTGGTGGGTGTAAAATAAAGCAACATATAAGCCCAGGAAACAATAGTATATACAGCAATAATGTCTCTATTTATAGCCCAATTGTGGGCCGTCCCCTTATTTGCAGCCCCACACATCCTTGGCTGAGAAATGCCCTTAGGTGTTCTTTGTTTGGTGTCTGTGTAAGACTTGTCCCAACTTTTCTTAAGAGGTTATAAATTCGTATGTGGGATTTGAAGGAGTGTACGCCTGTCTCAAAATCTTGGGGTGATCCAGCCAGTGTATGTATACTATATGTGCATTTTTTAGTTCTGCATTTTCATCTTTCATTTATCAAGATTATTGAACAACTAGTACATGCAAGGCACCCTGCTAGGCTCTATGGAAGACACAGAGACATGTGTGACACAGCCTTTAATGGAAGAGGTCAAACATGTTCTCATCCTGTGCACCAGGCATAATATGATCTGGTACAAAGCTCTGTGGCAGATGCATTTGAAATGCATGGAGACAGCTTTGGTCCCTTCATGCTCCCTGACTCTAATGCTACCCATCTTATCACTAAATTCTGGTAATCTTATGCTAGGAATGTCTCTTAAAGCCACCCCTTCTCGTGTTCCCTGTGTCATAGCCCATTTCAGGCCCTTTCCTCCTACCCAAACCTCTCCAATAGTATCATGTCTCTGCCTCAGTGTTTCCCCATCCAGAGCATGCTCCTTGTCCCACTCAGTTCCCAGCTTTGAACTTGCCCTCCTTTGATGTCATTGCATGACCCACAAGCTCCACAGTCTAGAGTCAAACCCAGTCCCCTGGCCTGACAGCTAAGCTCTCCTCACTGCCTAATTCCTTTCCAGCCATCGTCACTTCCCACTGTTGTGGAACCCAGATTTGCGTGCCTGATGCACAGTGAGGCCAAACAAACCGAAACATTGGGTTTGGGGCAGAGAAAGGTTTATTGCAGGGCCAAGCAAGGAGAATGGGTGGCTTGTGCTCAAAACCCCCCAAATTCCCTGACAGTTTTTTGGGGAAAAGATTTTGTAGGTAAAATTTGGGGTGTGTGACTTTCTTCTGATTGGTTGGTGGTGAGGTAACAGGGTGGTGCTCCAGGAATCTTGTACTCAGCCTGAAGTTACCATCCTCCAACTGAGTGAGGGACTTAGTTCCTGTAGAAGAACTCAAAGATATACTGTTATGTATATCCCTTGGAGGAACCAGCCCCTGCTTTATCTGCACCATTCTTTTTTTTTTAAAGTTTTTGGCTGCGCTGGATGCACAGCATTCAGATCTTCCCGGACTAGGGATCAAACCCACGCCCCCTGCAGTAGAAGCTCTGTCTTAACCACTGGACCACCAAGGAAGTCCTGCACTATCGTTTCTTGACTACTCCTGTTTCTGCATTCCCTTCCTTCCCTAATCAGCAACTGTTTGAATCTGTCCTTTGGAACCCAGGGAAGGTCTAGGAGGGACACGGAAAGGCTTTGGTACCCAGGAGGGCCCCACAGGGTCCAGCTGGGTTTCACCACTACTCCATTACAGGAAACTTGTCCTGAGATTGTTTTTCTTGTGATTCCCCAAACACATCCTGTACTTTTCCAGCTCAAGGCCTTTGCTGATTCCATTCTCTTTCTCAGTCATCTTCCACATCTGACTCTGTGGTATCCCACCCACCATTTAAGGTCATCTCCAATGCCATTCTTCCTGGATGCCTCATGTGATTGACTAGACAGACGGGAACAGCAGCTCTATTGGGCTCCCCTTATACTTAGTCTTCCATTTTCTTAGAACCTGATGTGTGTGCTTTAGATAAAGCACTTGGCTCTCTCGGCAGCATACATGCTGAAACCTCCCTCAGGACTCAACAGTACCTTTTAACAGGGTGTCTGGCCCTGTTGAGTGCTCCAAAGATGTTAAATTCTGTGTCCATTGTAAGGTCGGATCTTAACAAACGGCACCACGAAACAGAGGAAAGCTTCAAGTGAGCTTTATTAGGGAGCGCTCCCGGGCGAGGTTCTCTGGTCCGAGAGAAAGGGGCCAGAGAAGTCGCGCCTGGGCGAGGGTTGGGCAAGATTTTATAAGGGAAGAAGGGAAAGGGGTGTGGTGAATCTGGGAGGGCGCAGGGTATTTCTTATTTGGTGGTCTTTTCGGGTATCCTGGGGGACCGTTATTCCCACCCCTCGGAAGGTAGGAAGGCTGGGCTGGGTTCAAAGTCCCCAGGTCAGTTCCTGGAACTGGGTGGTCCAGAGAATTTCGGTCTGATGCAACCTGTGAATCTGATTGTGTTCCCCTGCCTCGGGCCAGTTGGCCTTACATCCATGAGCAGCTTTCTCTAAGGCAGTTATGACAATGTGTCAATTCTCTCTTGTGTTATTATCATTACCACAACATTTGCATAATGTCTCACAGTTTAAACGTTCTTCACATAAACTTAAATCCAGATGGCTGCTAACTTCTCACCTTTGTATTTTGTGGTCCTCTGCTCCAGCCATGTATGAACATTTCTGCACATTGCTGGGTTGCCCCTGTGCAGTCTCTGCACCTTTGTTCTGTGTGGGTGTGATGCGCATGTTGAAGGCGAGCAGAATATGCCACCCCCAAATGTGCCACTTTGGCATGTGAATTATTTGGAGCTGAAGGAAATCAAGACCCCGCAGACAATTGCCTAAATAATTTAGGTAGGGGGCCTGGCCCAGAGATAGCTTTCACCTGAAAGACTTACCTGCTTAGCAGGGCAAACACCTAATTAGCAAACATCTGCTCTTCTCACCTTCCTGTGAATTACCCACCTCCCCTTCAAGCCTCAGGCCTCTTTCCCATTCCTTAGCTGAAGATGGCATGTAAGCCTCAATTGCCCGACTGACTGCCTTTGAGTCTCCAGTCTTCATGGGCTCCTGTAAGTACGCAATTAAATTTGTTTTCTCCTGTTAATCTGTCCTATGTCTAATTATTAGACCAGCCAAAGAAACTAGAAGGAAAGGAGAAATTTTTCCGCCTCTACAATGTGGTGTGTGTGTGTGCTTGTGTGTGTGTGTGTGTGTGTTGTGTGTGTGTGTGTTGTGTGTGTGTGCTAAAGCAGGCAGGGTTGTGTCTGTCTGTGTGTGCTAGGGTGTTCATTTCTCTTAGGCATCTTGGCTGTTTCTGTAGTGACTTCCCTCCTAGGCTGTGTGTTTTCCATGTTTCCTACAAACTTGTGAATGTGCACCTGTAACTGTGGTTCCTTGACTTTGCTGGGTCAGTATTGTAGTAGGATGGGCAGACTTCCTTATGTAAGCCTTCCTGCCTCTCCAGAGATGGGGCTTGTGGCTGAACCTTCTCAAACTGTCTGTGAGCCCCTCTCCAGCAGCCACATGTCCCGACATGTGCCCGCAGTCCGGAATTTTACCCGCCTCCACTCACAAATCACACACTCACGACACACACTTAGCCGCCTACGGTTGCACTGGCCAATTCTCCACCCCCTCCCTTTGCTTAAACTTCGGAATTTCCAGCCGACCGGCCAACCGCTCCCAGCAGCGGGTGGAGTTGAGAAGGGCCCGCCCAGTTCTCGGGGTACAAAACTAGCTCTGCAGGACTGCGCGGCCACTTGTCCTTCAGCTCTGCGCACAATGTGTCACTCTCGAAGCTCCCTCCCCACCGTGACCGTCCTGCGGGCTCCGACCTCGGTCCCCTCCACCAGCCCGGGACCCCAACGGGGCTCCGGCCCCGAGATCTTCACCTTCGATCCTCTCCCGGAGACCGCGGTGGCCCCCGCTGCGCGCCCCAGCGCCTCCCGCGGGCACCGAAAGCGCAGCCGTAGGGTCCTCTACCCACGAGTGGTGAGTGTCGCCGAAGTGGACAGCCCGGGGGAAGAGCAGGGCGAACCGCCGTACGCCGGGGCCCCGACCCGACCTGTTGCCTTTGTTATCTCCCCACAGGTCCGGCGTCAGCTGCCAGTCGAGGATCCGAACCCTGCCAAAAGGCTGCTCTTTCTCCTGCTCACCATCATCTTCTGCCAGATCCTGATGGCTGAAGAGGGTGTGTCGACACCCCTGGTCCCGGAGGACACCCCCAGCGCGCAGTCCCCCGCGCCCACCGTTGTGCCCCCGGTCCTCGAGCCCCTTAATCTGACCTCGGAGCCCTCGGACTACGCTTTGGACCTCAGCACTTTTCTCCATCAACACCCTGCCGCCTTCTAACCGGACTCTCCACATCCCCAGAAGAATCTGAAAAACCAAGAAACACTGGGTGTACCTGGTGGGAGAAAGAGCGTATCCCAAACTGGGACTCCCAAGGCAACTCGCACTCAGAACACTACAGCGGAGATGCCAGCCCGAGCCTGGGAGAGACAGGCACCGACACGCCGGGGCTAGGCCGGGTGGCAGGAGAGCGTCGTTATTTCTCATTGCTCCTAATAATATTTATATGTATTTATGTATGTCCCCCTAGGTGATGGAGGGGTGTATGTAATATTTATTTTAACTTATGCAGGAGTGCGAGATGTGCTCCTTGCTGCAAATGCAGATCTCTGGGTATTTATTGGGCTCTGGGGGATTGGTGGAGGCCGGCGCCCAGAACTGAGCGAGGCTGGGAAGAGGGATGGAGGAAACCCGGGTCCGAGAAGGCGCCCGGGCTGGGAGTCAAGGACGGTGGTGGGTCGTAGTAGGTTTAGCAGGTGACATACTCAGCCCTCCAGCATCTCAACTCGCGGGTCTACTGTGTGAGGCTTCGGCGGACCGTTGAGAATAAGGTCCTTGGCCTTCGATCTCCTCGAAGTTGCCCCCAAGGGGTGGCTGCGGGGTCGATGGGCTGTCAGGGGGTGGCTATGGGGTCGCCCGGTATGTTCTGTGAACACAAATAAACTTGATTTACCGTCAGCAGTCATGTGAGTGTCTCTTTGCAAGCCATGGTCCCCCATTCCTCATGGCCTTCAAGCGCCTGGGCCGGAGGAGCCGCGGCCAAGTCACCAGCGGGCGCTCCTCCCCGGGCCCCTGAGCCCCTTTTTCCCGAGTCACGGAACCCAGCAACCGGTAATCGGATGCTGTCGTACGTTGCCCAGTCTGCGGTTTTCCCAGTTAATTCTCGCGGGGCAAATCCGAGGTGAGTCAATCTCCCTTGCCCCGCGGTGCCAGACCCACTGAGGTCACGTCCCGTGGGGCGGGGCGTGGAGCGGCCTGGCTAGGGCTCCAGACCCCGGAGGGGCGGCGAATTCGGGGTCGCCCCATCCGACCCCGGGCTGGCTCGGCAGCCCGGGTGAGCCGGGGCCCGGGCGGGCTGCGGACCGGAGCGCGGCCTGCTGGGAAAGGGGCGGGCCGAGGGGGCGGGGTCGCGTCTGCCGCAGCGACAGGGTGCGGCCTGGTTGGGGGCAAGGGCGCGAGCGCGGGCCCAGCTCCCAGGCAGGCTGTGCGCGAGCGGCCTCTGCTCGGCGGCTCACAGGTCCCCTGCGCGTCCCCGCCCTGCCCCGGACCACGGCCAGGCCGCTGCCCGCGTCCGGGAAGGTAGGTGGGGGGTGGGGTGGGGAGATGGAGTCGGGCTGTGGAGGAGCAGGGACGGTGGCGCAAGGGTCTGGGGGTCTCCAGGGGCCGGGAGAGCTTTATCAGATAAGGGAGAAACCGTCGTCACTGAAGGTGGGGTGCGGCAAGGGGCTGGGAGTCGCTGGGTGACTGCGAAATTTCACAGGGTAAAGCCTTAGCGGATCCGTGGGCGCGGAAGGGACGGGGCCGCATTGTCTGCAGGCGGGGCGGGACTGACAGGAAAGCGAAAGGGTTCACTCCTGTGGACTCCACAGTGCCCCTTGCTATCAGCAAAGGCTTTCTCTCCCCCTCCTCCAGCTCCAGCCTGAGCCATGTTTTTCACCTGTGGCCCAAACGAGGCCATGGTGGTCTCCGGTAAGTATTGTTCTCTGCTCAGCCAGTGACCCCCAAGTCCCCGCAGAGGTCCCTTCCCCCTCTCCCCACCAGCTCCCCAGCGCCAGACCTTCTGCCCACCCCACCCCCATGGTTGCAAGCCACCCACTTGTGGTGATTCCCTGCCTCTATCCTTCCAAGGCCTACACTGCCCGCTGCTCCTGCCAGCGCCCAGATTTCTTCGTGGGGATTGCTTCCCCCTCCCTTCCCCGGTCGTCTTCCACATTCCAGCTCCACCGTGGCCACCGGCCACCGCAGCTCATTGTCTCCTCACCTTGCAGGTTTCTGCCGGAGCCCCCCAGTCATGGTGGCTGGAGGACGTGTCTTTGTCCTGCCCTGCATCCAGCAAATCCAGAGGTAGGTTGAACAAGAGAACTAGGGAAAGGGAACTCCCGTTTTCTCTCTTTTCTCCTTTTCACACTGTCCACCCCTTCTTTTTCCCCTAGGATCTCTCTCAACACACTGACCCTCAATGTCAAGAGTGAAAAGGTTTACACTCGCCATGGGGTCCCCATCTCAGTCACTGGCATTGCCCAGGTGAGGCTTTCAGAGCCTTTCCTTCAAAGTCCACTCCCCCATCACCTTCTCTGTCCCCAGACATTAAGAATCTTCTGACCATGGCCTTCCCTACCTCTTGCTATGGAGAAATTTCTCTGCTAGTCTCAGCTTCTCCAGGGATCCCCAAGGCACTTGACTCTCCCAGCTTCCTCCCTGTCTTCATGAGACCTTCACCACACCCTCCCTAACCCTATTCTGGCTACAGGTGAAGATTCAGGGCCAGAATAAGGAAATGTTGGCAGCTGCCTGCCAGATGTTCCTGGGCAAGACGGAGGCTGAGATTGCCCACATCGCACTGGAGACGCTGGAGGGCCACCAGAGGGCTATTATGGCCCACATGACTGTGGAGGTGGGCCTGAGGGCAGGGAAAGATCTGGAAGGGGTGCCAGAGTGAGAGGGGCCTAAGGACCGAGCTAGTCTGTAGGAGACAGTGGTCAGAGGATCTGAGAGCTTACGTTCCTCCTTCCCTCCATCTTGTTATCCTAGGAAATCTATAAGGACAGGCAGAAATTCTCAGAGCAAGTTTTCAAAGTGGCCTCCTCAGACCTGGTCAACATGGGCATCAGCGTGGTCAGCTACACCCTGAAGGACATTCACGACGATCAGGTAAACCTAGGCAGTTGCTTCTCCCTGCTTTCCTGCTCCCATCTTAAACCTTCCCGAGGACTGTGATATCTGCAACTCTCCCACAGGACTACTTGCACTCCTTGGGGAAGGCTCGAACAGCTCAAGTCCAAAAAGATGCTCGGATTGGGGAAGCGGAGGCCAAGAGAGACGCTGGGATCCGGGTGAGAGATTTGGGGGTTGCTTGGTCTCCATGGGCTTATTGTGCACCTGGTGGAAGAGGGGATGGCGTGGGGGCTGGTGGAGCAGGGTTGGCAGAGGATATAAATGAGGCCGGGCCTGGGGTGAGGACAGAGGAGCTTGGTGGAGATCAGGCTCTCTCCCTGGGGCCTTCCTCTCCCTACTCTGACTCCCTGCCTGATCTCTGCATGCACAGGAAGCGAAAGCCAAGCAAGAAAAGGTGTCTGCTCAGTACCTGAGTGAGATCGAGATGGCCAAGGCGCAGAGGGACTACGAGCTCAAGAAGGCTGCATATGACATTGAGGTCAACACCCGCCGAGCACAGGCTGACCTGGCCTATCAGCTTCAGGTCAGAGCCCCTATGCTGGCCCAGTGGCCAGGCTGGACTTCACTCCCTCCCCGTTCTTCTCAGGCCACCACTCTCTCTCATATTCTAACTCTGATCCCCTTATTCTGGCCCTCCATTTCTGACCCAGCTCCTCCTTATGAGGAAGATTTAAAAGACCTAAACGGGGCTTCCCTGGTGGCGCAGTGGTTGAGAGTCCGCCTGCCGATGCCGGGGACACGGGTTCGTGCCCCGGTCTGGGAAGATCCCACATGCCGCGGAGCGGCTGGGCCTGTGAGCCATGGCCGCTGAGCCTGCGCGTCAGGAGCCTGTGCTCCGCAAAGGGAGAGGCCACAACAGTGAGAGGCCCGCGTACCGCAAAAAAAAAAAAAAAAGACCTAAACGTTTCAGCTGAAAAGCAAAGAAAAGGCCTAGAAAGGATACCCTCTATAGGGCTGATCACGGGCTTGAGGCAGGTTGTGCCCTGTGCCAGGGCACCTGGATGAGGGGGTGATCCAGAGCTAAGATCCAACCATGCTCCACATCGGGCCTGGGTGAATGGGTCTGCATCCACCCAGAGGAAGAGGTGCCTTTTTCTAATTTGCACAGGGGTACTCCATGGGCCCACAGCAGCCCTGGTGATCACAGAAGTGTGTGAGGAAGGAAAATGTGGGCTTTGAATCCCACAAAATGAGACATGGGGGCCCTTGAAAATGCAGGGAGGTGTAGTCGATCCTCATCATTTGTGGATCCCATAACTGAGAATTTGCCTCATCACTAAAATTTATTGGTTACCTCAGAACCAGTATTTTTTGTACTGATGACTATTTGCAAACATGCGCAGAGTGGAGAAAAATTTGAGTTGCCTGATATGTGCTTCCCAGTTGAGGTTGAACAAGAAGATGTTCTGCCTTCTTGTTTCGGCTCCTACTGTAAACAGTGTCATTTTCATAGTATATTCACTGCCACATTTTTTGCACTTTTGTGCTTTTTTTTGGTGATTTCAGTTTAAAATGTCCCCAAATGTAGTGCTGAAGTGCCGTCTAGTGTTCCTAAGTGCAAGAAGGCTGTGATGTGCCTGATGGAGAAGACGTGTGTTAGATAAGCTTCTTTTAGGCATGAGTTACAGTGCTGCTGGCCATGAGTTCATTGTTAACGAATCACCAGATATGTTACATATGGTGTCTTTAAGCAGAAACACATAAAGCAAGGATATATAGGACTTCCCTGGCGGTCCAGTGGTTAAGACTCTGTGCTTCCACTGCAGGTGGTGTGGGTTCGATCCCTGATCGGGGAACTAAGATCCCACATGCTGCACATCTTGGCAAAAAAAAAAAGATATATATTGACCTGTTTATCTGTTGTGACCAGAGGCTCACAGGAACCTATACCTGTATTTCCCTTAGGAACAAAATAAGTGTTTTGTTAATTCAGTGTTCATGGCTACTTTATAAAACAGAACTACCATAAATAACAAGAATCAACTGTACTCTGAGACCTTTCCCCAAAGGGTAGCAATATTATGAAATTCATTTTTGCCAAGAGTTGGTACAGGGTGAAATTATGAAATGCAACACATCTTTAGTTATGACGTTAAATCCCTGGATGGCTTGACAGGTACCTGAGTGTGGCATAGTACTTTGCTACTCAAAGTGTGGTCTGCCTCCCAGCAACATCAGTATCCCTGGGGAACTTGTTAGAAATACAAAATCTGAGGCTCCAGCCCAACTGACCAAGTCAGAATCTGTATTTTAACAAAATTCGTAGGCGATTCATGTATTGATAGACACTGGAGTTTGAGAAGCATTAACATAGTGGAAAACACCAGCTTGGGCGGGACTTAACCCACCCAAGGATAAGGTCCTTAATCTTCTTCTCAACATGGCTTGTCTGCACATCAAAGGGTTGGGCTGGTTTGGGTTCTGTTCAGCTTTTATTAGTTCCTCATTTTGTGCCAGTCAGGCTTTGTGCTAGGTGCTGGGGAAATAAGGATTTACTCAACAGGTATCTGTTAAATGCCTGTTATGTGCCAGGCATTGTTTTGGAGGTGAGTATATAAGTATGAATGAGACGGAATAAGATTCCTGCCCTCATGGAGCTTTACGTTATAATACCCGAAACCACTAATAAGCAAATAACCTTCACTGGCTCAAATTACATGAAGTGCTATGAAGGAAATACATAGGTGGTACTTTACTGGGGGGATACTCTATTAGGTCGGGGGTGATCAGAGGAAGCTTCGGTGAGGAAGTGATACATGAGATAAATCCTGAAGATGAGAAAGAGT